CCCCCCCCCCCCCCTCCCCCGCCCCCCCCCCCGCGCAACCCTTTCTCACATGGTCTTCGCTGCATTTTGCCGGCAAAACGTACACCTGCGAGACTGCCAAAACTTACAGTACTGTATGCCGACGCACCTTGAAGAGCTGAGGCCCCTTCTCGTCGTCGACAGCGATAAGCATCGCTACACACGCGAGGGCACGCATGGATGCCTGCTGCGTGTACACCTGCGCGAGCATCGGGGCATGGCCGCAGCAAAAAAGTGAAAAACATATCAGTCACAGCACAAACAGAAGTGGATGGAAGGGAGGGAGTTGAACGAAAGAAGATGGAAGATGCATCCCTCTCACTGCCGAGTCAAGAACGGCTCCGCGTGACGTGCCCACACCCACGCGCGCCGAAAGTCCATCGTTAGCGCTATGAAAGCACTTGGGAACTTGTCAGTTCAAAAATCGATACTTGCATTGCCTCGAAAAACTCAAAACTAGAACTTGACCCCTGTGAGCTCGCTCAAGAAGCCCAAAAGCCCGTGAAGCGACCGTTCGTAGCATAACCCTAGGAACGAAGAACCCCAGCCTTGGCAAAAACTAGAGGTACTAACGTGCGGGTGCTAACTGTACCACCTCCCATGGTCATCAAAGTCTACAGAAGCCATCCGCCATCATTCATGCACGTCGCCACCGACAGCCACAACAGCCACCGTCATTCAGCGGTGGTCAAAGACCACGGTTGGCACCTGCGCGATGTCGGCGATGCGCCTGGCCAGCACGTGCGCCGGGCAGTCGTAGCCGTACTTGAACCGGAACTCGTGGGCCTCGTACCGCAGCCGCTGCACCAACACTCTCGAGTCGGCTGTGCATCATCATTTTCACAATCATGATCAGCAGAAACAGCAGCAGCAACAGCAGCAACAGTAATAATCATCAACAGCAGCAGCAGTAGTAATCAGCAGCAGCAGCAGCAGCAGCAGCAGCAGCAGGAGTAGCAGCAGCAGCGAAGAAAGTGGCGCGGAACTTCCGAAATGAACAGAGGCTTGTTCAGCGGAGAGCAGTCTGAGATAGCCGACGGGGAACCGGGCCAACGAATCAACACGCTTCCAGGTAGGCGTGCCCCATCTTGTGGAGACGTTTCAGGTGTTTCCGTCCAAGGGTATGTATTCACACCATCAACCCGTCCGTTGCGGACAAAAACGGACGAAGCGTGATATCACCAGCTACGAGACAGCCTGAGGTGCATCCGTCCCGGCCGCAATGACGAACAAGCCATATGAACCGGCCCATTCCGTTCGACGACATGTGGGAGGAAACAGATAGGGACAGGCTGCGCAGGAACCAAGGGGCGACAGGCGGGTGGGCGTACCACGGCGGCGCGGCGAAGCTAAAGTCAGGCCCCGCGCGGCCGAACGGTATCGCAGCAGAGCACCGTAGACGCCACAACCAAAACAATATCGAGCCCTCACCGATCATGCCCGTCATGAGACAGCCAATCTTGTCGGTGATCTTGAAGATGTTCGTCACAGAGGTAGGGTCGATCAACCGATCCTGGGAGGGGAGACGATTTCGAGGACGCCGCGAGGGAAAAGTTGTACAAGAGTGGTTGAGTTGCGAACACGGCACGTTGCAAACTGTTGGATGATTTCGAAGGCTCGCAGCCATGCCACACAGCGCTTCTAACGTCGCAAGGAGCGCCAACGACAACATGCCCATGGCGGAGGAGTCCAGCAATACAAAGGAGGTATCAGAGGGAGGGACCTTATCGGTTACCATACTATTACTTCGAAGTTGTTTTCCGCTACTCACCGGGCTTCATTCTTCAAAAGGACGGGGCGTTATCGGCTTTGTACCTTTTCTTTTTTTTTCATTTCAAATCAACATTCACAGCATTTGTACTTTTCACTTCGTATGTCGGTTATCATGCTTTTCATGAGCTTGTGTCGGTTTCTCACCGGCACTTTTTTCTGGGTAACCATGACGCTCGTCTCCTTTCCCCTCACGGACACTGACGTCAAGCCCGGCCCCATCGCCGCCTTGAACGCATACTCTACTCGGATGGCAAAAGAGAACGCAACGCAAAGCGGGAAAAAGGGCGGGGTGTGAAGGGACGAAAGAGGCAAAAAACAGGGGGACAGAGACACGATGGTGGTCGACGGAGGAAAAGAATGAGATGGTGGAGAGAGGAAGATAGTCAAGCAACACAGGCTGGCAACCATGGTTTTCTCAGTGTAAGGGCATAAACAGACTCCACAAGTCGAGTATCCAACAGCTTGCTCCCAATTCTCCCTGTTGCAAAGACTTTCCAACACGTCGCCGCCAAGAATTATTTATAGCGGGTGTCTTCCTGTAAGGCTGCGTTGTTTTCGAAAAAGGACAACCGATAGAGGCATGTGTGGAGGGAGAGATGATCGACATCCAAGGTATAACGCACTCTGGCGTGCCGCAGGTGCCAACTTTGGTTTGCAACTTTCGAGTAGAGAGGCAAGAGCAAGCCAAGATTATTAAGACTGTCACCACACTCGGCTTGCGGCGGCGTACCAGGCGGACACGAAGACGCTCGAGAATCTCAGAGGTAGGTGAAGCACAAGCGGGACTGCTAGTGGTGAGTACCGGCTGCTTCTGCTAACTTGTGTACAGTCGTAGGCCCTCTACTAGGCTGGGGTGCGCCAGACCGATTCACCCGCCCGTACATGGCAGCCGCATTTTTCAATGTGTACTACAACTTGGTTATTCCGTCTGTGCCAGCCAATTTCACCCGCACTACAGCGGGTTAACCCGCGTTGTATTGTAGCCCGCCTCATAGAGGGCCTGTAAAACGCGGTGATCGCTGCGATCACAGCAGTCCACCACGCGGGGATACAGTGTACCGTACACTCGTGGCTCCGACATAATAAGCGGGCCGGGGGCAAAGAGGGTGGCGCGACAAAAGCCCTCGGCCCTCTTACTATATCGGAGCCCCCCCCTTATACCGAATAAGGGGGTACCCTACGTTCCCAACAGCAGATCGAGTCCGTGACAACCACTTGCGATCCCCCATATGTGGGAGCACCCCCTCTTGGCAACGTGTAACCCTCTCACATCGGAGCGGCTGCTGCTGCTGACAACGGTGCCTACGCGGGTGGTTCTGTACTGACCAATAGCATTGTCACCTAGCGTGTGAAGAAGACCGTGCGTGAGGGTATTTCTACACTGGTATCACCACAACTGTACCGGTCGGGCAGATGGCACCGGGGTGCGTGCATACAACACCTGTGTGTTGTTCATTGGGAATGCCGCCGTACCATCAATCATCTTTGCGCTGGTGGCTTGTGGCGCGAAGCAGCACCGAGGTCCCACGACCGCCCCCATCTCTAAAAACCACGCTGGATTCAACGGTGCTCTTACGTCGCTTCATCGACTGCCGAATGGTGGTGTGTGCTTTCACAGGTGGCTACATACGGCGGTGGAGCGAGGGGATGCCGAGGTTGTCTGTGTGGAGTGTTTATCGGCAACAGACAGCAGTGCGCTGTGACCACTTCTTGCTCTTACCCTGGGTTAGTGACCTCTACCTCGTTTCTTTGCCCAACGTACGCGTCCCGAGTTGTCTGTGCTTGTGGACGTCTGACACAATGGTATACGCATTTCATGAACGAGTATATATAGGCGACCTACACCGGAGAGCCGGTGCGAGCGTCGGATCAAGCAACCGCGGGAAACCCTGCATACTAAAACCAAGACAAACAACCAGACTTCTTTCGATAAGAGGGCACCAGCATGAAACAAGCTGTCGTTGCCAGTGTTACCTGTGTAGGCCTTCGGCAAAGTACCATTGATACACTAGCAATGCCCCACCGTCTTCCATCACTGCAAGCCAAAAGCATCGCCGACTGCTGCTGCTAGGCCTTGGACCATCTGCTGCTCCCCAAGCGCGATCTTCCGAGCAACGCACAACGCGCGTCCACTCCTCACCTATTTGGTACAATCTTCCCTGGGGAGAGAATACCGTGATCTGGTGGTCATAGTTCGAGTCCCTAGACATGGTGAGACGCTTTCAGGTCCAGCTTCCCTCCGGTGCTCTGCTGCAGCGCACTGCGCGTCTGCCACCTCTCTCCTCTGGCTGCTTGGTTGCTTCGTCGAAAACGATGTTCCCCCAACACCAGCAACAGATTTTCGACCCAAGCACTCGCTTATATCTCTGTTGTTAAACTCGCACCACTACAACCCTTTGAACGGCCTGCTTCCTGAGTCTAGCGTGCTGTGTGTGCGTGCTGATGTCGCAAAACTGGTCTGACGGCTGTTGTCTTAGGCAGCGCCTTCCTTCTCCTGAACTCGGTGTCATTGATTTTGCGGAACCCCCCCCCCCCCCCCCCCAATGCGATATTATCTCATGATGATTTGCATCTTCCAGCGCCCGACCATCACACCGGCCAATCCCCAACACCTCACGCTGTCGTCTCTACTCTCCGTCTCTCCCAAACTCTAAACATGTTCTCCCGCGTAGTCTCCCTCATGGTTTGCATGCTGGCTGGCGCCGCCGCTTTCATGGCGCCATCGGTGACCGTGCGATCTGTGTCGCGACCGACAAACAGCTTGTCCATGGTGAGTGCGTTTGCTCCTCCTTGACATGTAGTTATTCATCATCAGCACGTGCGTACATGTAGCTGGGGATTGATAATCCTCCTCCCTCGACCGCCACACGCAGGTTTGCCAATCGCCGTGCCGCACACCGACGGACCTACAATCTCCACCTTTGTTGCTCGATGCGCTATTGGAAATTCATCAAGGTTGACGAAGCTGCTGTTATGCAGCACCCTCAAACTCGCAACGTACGTGAAACACACGCGGGTTCCACATGACCAGCCCAGTAAGAGGCAGGCAACACGAACCTATTTGGCGCAGGGTTGTGGATATTGGTCAGGGAAGCGTTTGCCCTTTTCGTGCGCATAGTATTGCGACCTCTGTCTCAAGCTCTGCTCAAACATCGCGCCAATAGTCGGTTGTGCACATGTACCGCAGCATTGAAGGCGTTTACAGCAGTACCCATCATAAAGTTCACCTGGCACATCGAACGTTCACCAGACTCTCAATAGTCTAATATGTTGCAGTTTAGGCATCTACCGATCGATGTTGCCGCCGGCCCTTGTCGCACGAGGGCATGGCTGCGAGTGCATCGCGGGCCGCTAGCATTGGCGCACGTAAAACCTGTTCGTTTAAGCAATTCAGTAAAGGCCAGCGAAACTAGTCTATTAGCTGCTGGCTTACAGATCGGCTTTTTCAGACACCCACCGCAACAAAGAACGTGGGCGGAGGAACCATCCACTGCTGCTGCTGCAGCTTCTTCACGTTGCTGCATGATTATAGAGAGCGTCAAACGATTGCGGTGCATGGGTACCCGTGTAGCCAGACTGTACGTTCGCCGCGGTCTGATCCTGGCGCATGGCGCCGTCATGGGAATGGGGAGGGTCGTCCCGGTGTACCATCCTTGTTTGCATTTCAAAAGTTACGGATTTAGAATGTGAATGGACTGCATTGGAAGGGGGCACCAGGGATATGACGCCTAGGTATGGATGATGCACCAGACGAAGATGGACACGAGGCGAGCCGGAAGATTTTTTCCTTACAGACCCTAACCCTGACCCTCAACTTTGCCGAGTCTAGACTATACTTGACCAAGTGTGTTCACTTACTTCCCAAACCTGCGAAGACTATGGGTTGTCCTTACGATGACCCGCCGACCCTCAACACCAACACCGACACCTAGGCGGACGTTACCTTCCCGGGAGGAAAGAAGACCAAGGCCAACGGAGGCGCCCCCCTGAAGACGGTAGCGCAGAAGGCGGGCTACAAGGCAGCGTACGGCTGCGAGGAGGGCAAGTGCGGGACGTGCGAGCACAAGGTGACGCCTCGACCAACACTGCCTGTCTCGCACGCGTGGTATGGGATTTTGTAACCCATCCCCTTCGTCTGTGCTTATGTCTCGAACGGGAAGTCTTAATTTGATTGTACTATACTTTGCACAAAGAATGAGCTGTAACTGCTGCGATCATCGTGGTAATCGCATGGATATCGAGATGCTTTCGCCCGTGCGATAATGGTTTACATTTTATATAGTCCCATCTAGCCTTCGACTAGTACGATACACATATACGAATGGGAGAGAGTCTCGGCGGCGACGGGGAGGGCAAGTGCCTGTGCTTGGAGAACAAAGTGACAGCAGCAGTACGGCTATGTAGCGCTTGACGACTGCATCGAGTTAGGCCTTGCAAAGGAGGAGGCTTCTGCTGTCGCTGCTGCGGTATAACTGCACTCGTAAATGCACGTCGAGAGTTTTGAAGCCGAAATCAAACCATTAGACTAGTCTTCTGAGGTGTCCACCCTTGTAAAAACCACGAAGATTCAAAGCGCACAAGGGGGTACCAGTATTCCTTTGTTACGGAGAGGGCGAGCGAGTGCCTGTCCTGCGAGCCCCAGACCGCTGAATACCTCACGGAGATAGTCCACCTAGCTAAGAGGCACACAGGTGCATAGATCTCGGTACACCACCCCCGCTGCGGCGACGCCTATCTCTTTGGGAAAGTAGCGTGCCCAAACCCGTGCGGTACATATACCGGACGCCTTTGGAGAAATGCGCACATGGTCAGCTTTACAGGAAGGAGCACGGGCACATTCCGCGACCAAGCAGCCGAGGGAGAAAATAATTGATCCGAACTGTCCTCCCACATGTGGTTATGGCCATCCTGTGGATGTTTGGAGGCATCACCCCTTGTGTACCCATGCGGTCTGACCCGAAAAATCCTGACGTTTGTGCGGTTTTTGCGCATTTTCTGCGTGTGTTTGGTGGGCCGCTCATGTCTTGGCAGGTGAACGGCAAGAAGATCAGGCTGTGCATCGGCAAGCTCCCCGCCGGCGCCGGCCCATTCACGGTGAGCGACCCTCCCATCCTCCCCCCCCTGCGCTCTTGGAGGCGAGGTTCTGGTTCCTTGGTAGCCTCTGTCGAATTCGTGTTCGTCATTCCCGACTGGCGAGTTACGAACGTTTACACACAGATTCGAGAGATGATCGGTTATGCAACGGGAGCAGGAAAGCCGCAACAAGAGAAGGGTTTACAGCAGTATTGTATTATTGCCATCGAGAGCCCACGCTTCAAGCAGAGCCCCCTAGAATNGGGGGGGGGGGGGGGACGCAAATCTTTCACGCCGGTTTAGGATGTGGTCAAGATTGGCGAGATTGTTGCCGCCATGCATGGTGTATGACCGCATTCTCTCTGATGGTGGCNCCCCCCCCCCACCCCCGCCCTTGCATGCATGTTTCCCTTGTTTTGTGTCGTGTGGATTCTGAGCAGTTCACCCAGTAAATAGAGGATACAGGGGTCGGGGTCGACACAGGGACACGGAAAGGAGGCGCATCAACGCCTCATCTACATCACAGGAACAGGGGATCCAGTGACTGGGAACCCCCACCCGCACCACGAAGAAAAACGGGGACAGGCAATGCGACGCATGGACACGCCTCATTCACAATTATCACAGTTTCAGCTTTGTTTTTTCTTTTGTGTGTCAATTTTCGGATCAAGATCTCGTGGAGGCGTATTCCGTCTGTTTGACACGGTGGGCACCCGCGGCGGATCGAGGTGGGGGCAAGCGCGGGAAGATATCGCCAACAGGACGAGGTCATCATCCTCTGGCCATGGTTTCGTCGCTCGGGGCGCCAGGATGCCTTGTGCCTCTAGACTATTAATAGAGTATTCACGACCAACATGTTGCATAAGCAGTTTGAACGTTGCCGTCGGGGTCTTCATCGCAAACCTTTCTAGAAACTTTGGATAACGGGGGCGTCAGCTGTAACAGTTGTCTGCCTTGTGCAACAGCAGCAAGCTGTTGTAAGCGTGGAGCACTAGTGCTCGGAGCTCTCGTTGTCTTCTCTTAGGCAAAACGGAGTAGTCTACATACTTGTTTGACGGCATCTTATATGCACGACTTTACGTTTATAGGGTCGGAAGGATATATCGTTGACATTTTAGAGAGGTAGGGATCACAGTCCAAAGAGAACTGAGAAAGTCTGTGCTACGCACGCGTGGCCTACTGGAAGCTATAATTTGCTCGTTTCATCGCAAACTGATTACATCTCTCGTGTTTCATTCTTTTTTGCGCGCCAGCGTATGGGGGAAGTCAGGAGCCCACCACCCCCCCCCCCCAAGGTNCCCCCCCCCCCCCCCAAGGTCCAGGGCACAAAGCCCAAGTACAGTACCTCCTTCTGTGTTAGATCTCAAACGCTGAGCGCCTCGGGAGACCATGCTTGGAGAATCCTGCTCGAACGCTCGGAGGACACGAACGAGTGTTGGCTCGCGCTGTGCGATTCCTCCACCACACGTGACCGAAGGGCATAAAGCCCTCTACTTGAAACGGCACGGTGGAGTTCAAACCCAGCCCTGAATGTACATGTGTCCCGGGCTACGTATTCCGTACACGTTCCATGTTGCTGTCTATAGACATGGCTGGCGATCTGTTCATTTGACCTTCTGCCGGTGTGCCGACGGGATAGGAAGGGTTCAGGTCACGTTCCAATTGTCTTGGCTCTTGTCTTGGTGTAAGTGTTGGCGCAATGGTGATACCTCTACCCCTCCGCGCTGACCGTCCAAATGATCTCGCGTCCAGACAAGACAGGATGTAGCACCCAATGATGTCCTTTTGTCATGAGAGAAACGGGCAACGTCGTTCGTTGGCTCACTGAATGCTCCGACCCCTGATCGGCTACTTAATACACCTTCCTCCTCTTGGTCGAGCAGTCACAGCAAAAATGCCACCACGCTATACGTTGCCCCATCCTCCGTCCGAGCAGTGGGCCACATTTTCGGCATCAGCCTCACCAACCAGCACATACCGTGGCGCCTGCACTTAATTATTACCCTGGCAGCTTAGAACTTCATACTCAACAATGTATATTGATACAAAAACGTAAGTACTTGAGCACCATTTGTGAGCCCGCTGAAGGACCCCTACACTAAAAAATAGTATTTTGTAGCTTTACCCCAGAAACGAAGATGTCCAACCAGCCAAACCAGAGGACTTAAGACCGGGGGCCAAGCTGTGTATGCCGAGCCCTCCACGGTTTCTTGGCTCTCGGACTTAAAGGTCCCTGTGAACGATAGGCACACCCGACAGTTCCACGCGCGGAAAACACACACACGGCAGGAACACGAGGTAAGCAAGAATCGCCTCTGTTTGGGGCACTCAATCGTATACAACCTGTTGTGTTCCAAATTATCGTGTGAGGTTGTTGTCGTGTGTCTAGTGTGGCGAAGAAATTCCCAAGGCCTTGTCAGAGAAAAAACTTCCTAAATAGTGGATGTCGTCATGGCTGGGTGCGCTTCTTCAGGAGAGGCACATGGCTCTGTGGCACACACGAGAAATGCGCGCAATGAATTGATTCAGAGAGAGATTTGTACAAGAGAAGGAGGCTTAGACTAGGCCACAAACAAAAATTGTCGGTGAGAACACCGAAAATGTCTAAAAAGGTGAAACAATCAACTTATTAACGTTCACGCACCTCTCCCTGGCTCTGCCTCTGTGACCCATGTGCTTGAGGGCCTGACAGGCGTCCCTCCGGATGTTTTCTCGCTCGGAACGGCTCAGCCGCAGCAGCTGCGGCAAACCACCCGCATCCACCAATACCCGGCTGGTTTAGGACACACAAACGGGTGAAATCAGGAGGGGAATCGCGGCTGGGGGGGGGGATGGGGGGCTCTGGAATCCATCAATATGAGCAAGTTTTCTTCGGCACCCAGCGAGGGGGGAATGGTTGTCGGGGGACCGGGGGGGCCAAGGGAGGAAGGTGGAAGGAGAAGAGAAAGAGGATGGTACAACCTTGACTGGAGATATGAAAACGTCGCCGAAGACAAACAGGATTGATTACTGTGCTTCAAGGTACCCGGAGGTAGGAGGTGAACCGGCATGAGAACACGAGTGCCGCTTTTACCCGTTGCTCCAGATGATCGTTTTGTACGACAAGACAAGGTCGAAAACGATACAGAGATACCGAGTCCCAGCGGTCGTGCGAGTGTGCTTATGCTCACCCGGCGCCTTCAAGCTTCGTGATTTGTCGGATTGCGGCGACGGCGGACTCTAGGATCGGACACGCCTCTTCTTGGGGCGGGGCCTCCGGGCCTGTGGCGTGGGCGATGGCAGCAACCAGGAGATCTACGCAACCTCCCCGCACGAGAGGTGACCTCCACTCCGACAGAAGAGAAAACTTGCACGAAAGGGGTCGAGCATCCATGACAAGAGGAAGCGACAAGGATTTGACAGCCATACCACTAGAACCTCAGCAATTGCAATACCAGCTTGGGACGCGGTAGTTGTGATCCTGAGCCGGTTCTTCCTGGTCTCGACGGGTGTAAGCAACCCGGCGTCTGGAGGGAGCCAATTGGCGCTGCTGGTGGCTACGTGTTCACCCACGTTGATATTGCAAGCAATATATCACTGTCTGTCGGTGGCTTCTTCTCGCAGGCAGCCGGCGAGGCACAAAAGAATACGAACTGGGCGCGCTCCGGTGTCGAGGCTCATGATGATGATGTCTCTTAGCACGATCTCGAGTTAGCAACAGCACGTGTACAGCCACTGGCTCAGGTCATGGGTTGAATGAAGGCTAGCGTTGTTTCGGTTACCTGGTGCAAGACGAAGGCGGCGGGCTTCACGTGCTCCTGCACGGCGGCAAGCATGAGCACCTCGCCGAGGACCTCCCGGCAGAACACCAGAGGTTTCATCTCCGAAAGAAGGCAAACCTGTGCAGAGCAGCGGCAGAGAAGGTGGGATGACGCAGAAGGCGCGGCGAGGAAAAATGATGTTAACAGTGTCAGTGTCTGCTACCACCACCGCCCTGTGCATGTCCGGCGGCACCGCCGTGGTGGTAGTGGTCCGGTCGCTCTTCGCGGCAAGCCGACTGTAGCGAAAGGGCATGAGACGTTGTATCCAACGGATATGGGTGACCACGGACATAGATGCAGGTCGGTGGGAAAATGATGCATTTCCCTTTTCAAACGAGCAAGACATCGATCGACGCAGCACAATGGCCTCAGGTACGCGCGCTGACGAGGACAAGGAAGAACGCTGGCTACCAAGAACACTAATCCAAAGCTCGGGCAGAACAAGCAACTTTTTTTCGTCGATACATCGGGCACGCAGGCTGGGTCAAACTTCACACGCAGTTATCCTTCGGACGTGTCCCTTTGCTAGGGTAACGTCGTGAGCCCGTCCACCGCGCACAAGAAAGAGGTACACACACGGCAACGGGGGGAGCGCACGTACCGTCGTCAGGGCGTCGAGAGCGCACTGCTGCTGCGCCGCCCTCCCCCCCCTGAGGCACCGCATGATGGAGTCAAGGGGCCCCTGTCCCACGAAGGAAAGGCGGTTCTCCTTATCACAGGCGATCACAACACGAAGCGATTGACGGTTTCAACGGGTCCCGGGGTAAGAGCATTCCTGCAGTCACCATTATCACACCTCCAGGTTCTCGAGAAAAATTGTCAGGGGGTGACCTCGCGGGGAGATAGATACCTCTCAGCGCCTCGTGCACCGGGAGTTGGCTTTTTTTGTCACTTCGAAAACACAGATCTCGCCGCCGGGGCGATGTGTTATTACCGTCCCCGTTAGCCACCGTTTCTATGAAAGAGTAAAGTCCGGTGGGGAAGGCGGAGAACCACATCATAACAACCACCACCACCTCCAAAAACAACAACAACAGCAACAATGACAACAACAGCGATTGCATTCGATGCTTATTTTTGTTCCGGGAAGTACAAGAGCGCTCCAGGGTTTTTCATCTGAACCGGCGTCAGCATCATCGTTAGATCCTAAAATCACGTCCTCATTAGGGTAGCCTCTGTAGAATGATGTTTGCTTCGTATCTAAGAAGGGGCTAGAGGCGAACCTCTTCAGAACCAACCCCAGTTCACATTAGCAAGAAGGCCGCAAATCAGAGGCCGTCGTCATTTGTTGTCTTCACAATCGAAAAACCCTATTGCTCTCTGCTCAGTATCTTTTGGCATCCGCACTGGTCCGACAGACGCAGACGCCTTCTGTGGTCAGAGGCTAACTATGCCTCAACGGGCACATCGCGAAAACCAAATACTAGTTGGAAAGAAAAGGACCTAGAATACTCAACGCAACCGTAACAATTGCCAAGGATACAGTAATCGACATAGTAAGCTTGAGCCATGCTGACATCGTGGACCAAACATCTTGAAATATCAATGCTTCTAGGCGGAAAACTGTTGGAGTTGGGGGGTGGTACATGTGGTTGGGCAGCGTTGCAAATCGATGTTATGTGAGTTTTCCCGGGGGGAACGTAAGTCACCTCTCCTTCCATGGCAACTGCGGACAGGTCGAGCACAAGCTGGCTTAGCGATCCGGTCATGTGAGGATCGTCTCCAGCCCCGATGGGCACGCTGCAACGTGCACGCGAAGAGGGAAAAGAGGCCGTGAAACTCAATACTGCCACAGCGTGATTGTAGGCTGGGGGGACGGGATGTAAACCGGCGGTGAAGCTTTGAGTGCAACCAAGCTGGCGAGCGGCTCTAGCCTGCACTGCCAGAGCAGTCTGACGTCAGCAGTGCGCGCGGGGGTTCGCGCGATCTGTTACGGCTTGCCCTACAGCAGTCGTTGGCTTGTTTGCGTATTCTGGAAGGGTGGTGCCGTTCCTACTCCGCCGACACCGCTGGCAGGCATGCTGGAGGTCGTGGGGTTCGAGCTACAGGTTAGAGAGCACGATGTGAAGGTGGGGGGGGGGGAAATACCCACCGCGGCATGCGATCATGTTGGTGCAAGAAGCTGCGACGGATAAAACGGTGCGGCGATACGTCCGTGGTACTCTGTTCACGTTTCGGGGGCAAAATATCGGGAACAACATACGACCGCCGCTTGGCAACCAGACAGGTTGGCCAAACGTGCACGCAGCTCTTCTATGAGCACGTCGGACTTGGACAAGTGGGCGCAACATACAGCAGCGTAGGGTCGACATGCGGCGGAGGTTCCGCGTGCCTACAGACGAGAGACCCCCAACCTCTCTGGACAGGGCCGGCCAGTGGTGACACACTCGCCGCGACATGTATCCCGCGACACCAGTCAACAGCCCCCTTCCTAGCCAAGGAACTGGAGAACTGGCGGCCCTCAACCCACTGTGGGAACCACCAAATCGATGGAGGCACGCCACCAACTACCGGTGTATCGATAGCTCTAGTGTCGGCGACGCGCTCGCGGTGTCAAAGAACCACCAAATCGATAGAGGCACGCCGCCAACTAACGGAATATATATACATATATATATATGTGTGTGTAGCTTTTGTGCCGGCGTCGTACTCGAGGTGTTCGCCGCGGTGTACCTGTTGATGTGAGCCAGCACCCCCGCGTGCAGGGCTCGTCTGCCGTGACCCCTCGCCGTCAGGTGCGCGAACATCGCCATGCACGTTCTCGCCACGTCCATGGCCACCTCGAGTTTTTCCTTGGTGGAACGGAGCAAGGTCAGGAGCAGGCAGGCGGGAAGGTGAGCGGAACGAGCCGTGCGGGCGTGATGGCGCCGAAAGTTCGGTATGTAACCGCTTTCGTGAGGGGATACAGGTGGTAGTCGCGAAGTGGACACATGATGAACACACGTTTCAATTGCTAAGTAGGGTGCGTCAGGCCATTGAGGTGTGCTCGCGACCAACATAATGGGTCGTGTCGGGTGACACTATTGTCTTGGCAGGGTCACGACGTGGACCGAACACGGATTTTGCCGCGAATCATCCCCCCTCCACAGATGTCGTGGTACATACACAAACGGGCCTTCACTCATCGCTTTGTCTCTCCCGCGCTTGGCTTCAGGCCAAACACGCACGAAAGCTCCCACTACTTTGCCCCCATGTATACCTCGGTGAACCGCCCTTCGGCTTCCTTCCTCCGCCCCCCTGCCCCCGCCCAAGCAGACATGCCTCCGGTGGACACGATGGACTCGCAGCGCGCGCCGCCTCCGCCTTTTGTGCGCGAGCTGCTCGTGGCAGCGCCAGCGGCGGCGGCGGCGGATGGAGGCGTCGCCACAGAAGACAAAACGCCTTCTATCTCTCGGCGCTGGCGGAGGTAGTTCTGGCATCCGTGGACAAAGGAAGCGACTTGGTTGAAGCAGAGACCCACAAGCGCCTCGAACAAGCCCTGCGTCGGTGTTTGAGAGCTTTTTAGTTGGCGAATCAGTGAGGGGCAGTGCTGCGAGTACGATGGGATGGATGAACAAGGGACGCACATGTTGTTTTGGTGTTCGAGTAAGCTAGGTATGTGATTGTTTTTTGTCTGGGGGGAAAGTTGCTCGACCCGTCATTGGACGGAACACAAAACTGCTGGGAGAGGAAGCTGTTTTTTGTCTGGGGGGAAAGTTGCTCGACCCGTCATTGGACGGAACACAAAACTGCTGGGAGAGGAAGCCCTCGGATTTTGACCACAACCCTCGTTGTTACTTCTGCAGTTGTAGGTAGAGTACGTTAAAGAAACAGGGTGAATTGCGGGTGTTGGATAATGGAAGTTGTTGCACACACCTCGTCGATGAGGCGCTTTTCACATCTTGGACTGCCCGCCATCCGTTCCAGGGCCTTAAGCATGGCCAACCTTTCAAGAACAAATCAAATGTGAGGTCCCCACAAACGGTGGATATGGCTGTTGGCCATCTGGTGCTGTTGCCTACAGACTACAAACGTCCCGTCTTTCGTCCGATGTCACACCCTGTCATAGCAAATCACCTCGGCACAGAAATATATTTCCGTTGTTTACCTAAGCACTTCCACGAACAACAACCGGAGCAACCCGATATGGGCTGCGAAAATACCAGTATTCACTGCAAAGGCATACGAGAATTAGGCCACGTTGTTATGGAGAAAAAACGAAAAAGACAGGGGAAGAAGAGGACGTTACTAGGCTTCACAAAGTTGTTGCAACCCTTGTATTGTCCTCTTCATGCCAGGCCCGCACCCCACGCTCACAAGGAGAAGGTGAGAGGGAGGAGGGCAACTACGCCTTGAAGGCGTTACTAACACACGAAAGAGTTTTCACACAGTGCGAATACACCGACCGCTCATACAGCGCTCTCAAACGAATTGTTCCAGACCATCTGTCCACGGATCGTGAGTTCTCTTGTCCGTTGGCGAACGAACAAACATGATATGGAAGTATGCAAAAAAATATCAAAATCTTCGCAACAGACACGTACGCTGTTCAAAAGCTTTTGGGGTTGTGTCATTTGGGTTCTTGTTCCCTTTACCAACTATCCGCCGACGAAGGTGTAACT